AATAATTTTTATCCTTTGCATATATTTTTCATGTAATGTGAACGCTGAATTTCCAAAAACTTACTATTTATTTAAAATAATTTTTCATACCTGTTTTTATAAATTGATTAGCATGGCATATATTTTTCAATCAGTGTCCACGTGTCACCTTTATTTTACTTAAACACTTAAGTATAGTTTTAAATATACATATATTTATCCATTTCTAAAGTAAAATATCCCTAACACTTTTTCACATACACTCTCGCCATCGGCTACACTGTACCGGAAATGAGACTAAACATTTCCTGGAAAAAACGGATGATCTTCATGACGTCACTAAACTCTCTTTATATATATATATCACTGATTCGATTACACTACAATTCCCAGTTTGCCCCTGAAGAAGAACGGTCCAAGAACGGCTATAGTGTATCGTACATCTATAGCAAACATCACGGAGCTAATGACCAAGAAAAAGATGTCGTTGCCACTATAACTGTGGGCATGTTGAAGCGAACATAGACTGAAATCCAATATTAGTTAAATGTACTGAGAACCACTAATGGTGCACACGTAGAAGTCTACTGACATATGTATTAAAACAGTTTGAATTTGGCTACAAAATGTTGAAAACTGCCTGGTTGTATATCCTTAGTTATTTAATTATTAAATTCTAAAATAGAAATGGATCAACCTGTATAATAGTCAAATGGTTATCAAACAACGTCCTGTAGACATTCTACAATGAAACACCACTTGACAGCTGGGAAAGTAAACATTACATATCCTTTTAACTTACAAATTTTTGACTTTCTAGTTATCATTGACAGTCATACAGACTGACAATGTTCTAGATATTACATCAACTAACATAAGCTGTCCTAAATGTATCATAACTAAGCAATTATAACATGATGTCCTGTTAATATCTCTCAGAGAAACTTCTCGATAGCTTGGAAAGTAGGAAATGCCACTTTCTTTTCACAATTAATCTATCTAAAAATAATCATAATAATGTATGGTCTAGTTATTAAACACAGATGTATTGATCAGGAGGTCAACACTGGCATCTTCACCACCCACCAGAGGTATTCCATAACCTTTCTACTGACATTTCCTCTTCTGACTCCTCTTGGACAGCAAGATAAGATGTTTATCAGTTACACTTAGCTTTAACTTAAGAATGAACCTAACATGCTTAAGTGTGCCACTGAGTTATCTGAGAATGAGATAAGGACCAGTCCATTAGAAATTCAATTGCTTCCATGCTGTAGGCACATATCAAAACCATCCTTAAACTCTACTTATAAACTTTTGTTTTTCCACTGCTTTCTAATAGCATCTTCTCTCCTACATGGCGGACTTACCTAGCAGTTGACATACATATTCGGGAGTATCAAACAATGCAGACCTTAACCACTAAATATTCATGTTGGAGGTATTCAGTAAACAACCAAGAGACTTCAGCTCTGTTGTGCAGTATACTATCATGACATATAACAGATATTCATCCTCTCCAGTTCCATTGGGATTACCAAGCTTTCCAAATATCCACTTACTAGCCTACATTCCCCATTCTATCAAATTATGAAACTTTGGGTAATACAGTTAAATGCACAGCTTCATAATACCCAATATATTATACAACTTGGCAAATAAATGGCTGTTAAAACTGACTCCTTGTCTTTGTGAATTTTTCCAGGTATTTTAAATTGTGCCACACATGATTCAGCCAACTCAGCAGTTAAAGGCTTTTCTAATGTGTCAACCAATGATAATCGTTGGCCCACTGATTAAGTAATTGAAAATGACTAGTATTTACTAATAATGTCTTTTGATCTTCATAAGAGGATAAGCATCATCGGGGATATTATCTGTATCAGAGAACCAAATCTCTCTCTACCTGTGTTTATTCTGTTTTGACCAGATCAGTTTTCCTTTGCATGGTATATACAGTACAGTGTTTGCACCATCACTCAATGTTTCGATGGGAATGTGGTCAGATAAAATGATTTTACATGTTACAAAATGAGCAAAAACACCCTGGTAACATTTGGCCCTTGCACCATGGAAAGTCTAATGTATCTTCTGCTTAAGAGCACCTAGGACCATTAGCTGCATCATAGGTTGAGAACCACATCTTGGTGGTTTATAAAAATAGTAAAGGACATCTTCTCGCACTTTTAGCTGTTCATACAAGTACCATAGGTTACATATATCTGCATTATGTTCTTCGACCTGTGATGTTCATGCTTTAACTTGTTGATCAGTTTGTAATACGCAAATTTCTTCAGTTTTCTCTTCCTGGAACTCTCGAAGCATCGTTCATAGTTTTTGTACAGTTGGATATCACTTCTATACAATGTCGAGCATCAAGACTTTGAGCATACAGTCAAGCTCTCACCATCTGATAAGACAGTTCATTGATGTTTCTATGTTGCAGGCCTGGTCAATGATGTATAACAAAGGTGTACTATTGCAACACTGTGACTCAATGAACAATCTTTCAGAATTTTAAAGTTCGTATGTCATTTCGTTATGCATTGTTCACTTAAATGTTGAGTTTCTACCATAAAAGTAGTATTTGTAATTATTGATAAATGTTACAAGCACAATCAGTTTTTTCTTTTTTATGCAGCATCTGCATTCGGGAGTCATCAGCATACAACTAACATATGCAATTACAGGTTCTACTCCATCCTGCACCAATTACAGTTCTAATCCAATTCCATTGTTGCTGGTATCAGTATCAAGTAGAAATGGCATTCTTGTTTTGGATATGATAATACCAGAACTTCCATTGAAACACGCTATGGTCACAGCCTTCAGACCATCAAAGTTTATTTTGGATTTCGTCTGGTCAAATATAAGTGCAGTTAAAATTGGCCATGAATCATTAGTAATATATGAAACCAATATCCAACCAATATTGAGACCAATATCTAACCACTGTGATATTTGTAGGGCCCACTAAGACTGTTCCTTTTCACATCATTACCGAGGAATTCTACCTGTGTGACTTAAATTAACCTATTCCTCTCTCACAACGGGCTTGGTCCCTGGGACCGACCTCGTAACCATTTTGTGCTTGTTATAGTTTTCATGCTATAACTTTTAATAAAGTAAGCGTATCTTCATGACATTTTGCAGATTTTCAGTAAACATTACATGCCTTTCGTACTCAAAATATCAGTGTTTATTTAATTAAGTTTGAGATTTTTTTAAGTAATGTTTTTCTCGTGATTTTTTTACTTTTCGAATGTTGAGTATCCAACATGCAAAGTAATTTTGATTTTCAGATTAAAAATACTTTTATACATCAGAAAATTTTCAAATTTCACATGCGAAATATTTATAACCTCCAAATAATTATCAATCGTTTTTAGACAAAAATTTATATTTTATCTGTTATTTTCACCATTGTATCTCTGTACGGGTTTGGTCGACTTGAACGACGTCGTAACCACCATAAATAATTAGGAAATAGATATAAGTTATGCTTTTTTCGTTCTAGAATGAACACAGATTATAACACGAAAACATAAATGTTTGATATAAATAGCTTAAATCTCATAACATTATACATCTATATATATATATTTAATATTTTTATTTTATTGACCTTTCAGCCGTGGCTGACTAACATTACAGAAGTTGCAATGACGCGGCGCACGTGCACTATGTTACCGTATCTAATAATATAAAACTGGCCTTTACAAAGTGACCTATATTTGGTTTTATTCTAGTGGACCAAAATTTTGTAAAGTGCAGTCACATCTCGGTTATAATACATTACATATGTATATATATATATATATTATTACTATTTACAAATAATTTCTTAAATTTCAGTTATTTTTCATAAA